TTGTGTCAATACCATGCTGTTTTGATCAGGGAGTGAGAGCATTTCTAATTATTTACATTTATCAGCCAAGCTACACTCATTGTGCCTGTTTCTTGAAAATTTCATTTCTTCAGTCTTTCAGACTCTTAAATAATAATAATAAAATTTTAAAAAGAAAAATTTCATTTCTTCTTCCATTTGCAGGAGCATCCTCCTACTTCAATTTCTCCTGGTGACATTTCTTTCCTCTTGGAGTGTTTCACACTTTGATTTATGCTGTGTGTGTTAGCGATGTCTTCTACAAATACCCTGTAGATAGTTCCCATGTACAATTCTGTCCATAGCAGCACATACAAGCTATTCATTAGGAGCCCAAGACTTCAGGAGAGAGCTGAAGAAATAGATCATGAACACTGAAGATCCAGACATGTCACCAAGGATGAAATAAAAAGGTGTAAGTAGGATTTGAAAAACAAATTTACCTTACTAGTAGGTTAAAAAAAATAATCAGAATTAAAACAACAAGGTAGGAAGGTAGAATAAGGTTAGACAATAATAGGATGAAAAAGAATACTCATTACTACAGAGAGAATATAATTTGGTAAAATCACCTTTCAAGAGACCAGAAGATATCATAATAGTTATGTCACTGGACTGCCACATGACTACCTGAGGTTTGAGTCCAGATCTGGCTGCTTGAAATGCATGCTGGGTGTTTGTGTCTGCATCCCCAAAATCTCAAGAGGAGAAGAGAATTGAAGGGATTGTGGCAAGGTCATCACTCCTGGGGGGTTATTCTCATTTTCTTTCTCTCTGTCTCTCTGGAGAGTGCACATACCCTATAGCAAAAATCTATCTAAAAAAGGAAAAGGAAAAACTTGTCTTTTTAAAAATTTTCATCTTTTTGGGGGGAGAAGTTCCACATGGTGGGGGTGTGTGCCTGCATGCTGAAAATCTCAAGAGGAGAAGATAAAAGAAGGATTGTGGCAATGCCATCCCTCCTGGGAGGTTATTTATCACTTTATTTCTCTCTGTCTCCCTGGAAAGTGCACACTCCCTATAGCAAATGTCTGTCTAAAAAAAGGAAAAGGAAAAAAAGACTTTCAAAAACAATTCAGAAATATGTGTTATGCACATTTATGAACATGCTGGACATTAACTTTAGCATATATTTTAAACTATTGGTCATATAGTTTCACTTCTAGGAATATGTCCAAAAAAATAAGTGGCTTACTCATGTGTATATATGTGTAGGTGTTCTGGACTAGAGTTCAATAAACTTAATCAGAAGGATCAGGCCCTTTCACTTTATTCCTGAGTTTTCTTAATAAGCCTAGTAGTTCTTCACTCAGGCTGTATATCAGCATGACCTGAGAGCTTTAAATAGTCCAGAAGATATGACCCATTAATCAAATCTCAACCTCGCTGCATTGAGAATTAAATATGAGCACCTTTCCATGGTTGTAAGAGCATCAATTGACATTCATCTCCCAACATCATGGTGTATGGTGTTCCCATTGTTATGTCCGACCACAGAAGTAGGACTTTTCCCTGTGCCAGGGACTGGTGCTGCACTTCTCTCAAATAATGGGCTCCTGTACATATCTTAAGCCCAGCTTAAATTTCCATTTCAAAGGATTGTACTGGCACTTTCTCTAAAGTACCTGCTTCCTCTGCTTACTCCCATTACCATTTCATCATCAATGTTTCCATTTTCTTTACCATGTTTACTGGGTGGCAGGTCATCTGGACTCTAAGCTACATGGAATCTCTCCTGCTCTGCCTCTGGTGCTAAATACACAATAAGTATTCAATTGATCACAAGACTTCTGTGTCATAAGAAATTCCCAGTGTTTTTGGAAATTTGAGAGAGTCCCAGTGTTCCATGCTTGGTGAAAAGGAATATAAATTATGTAACCATGTTCATAGATAAGACTGCTGAAGAAAAAACCTGGGACAGAGGACCTGCTGTTGTCATAATGGCTATATCACTGAAATCCCATGTAGTCGACCGCAGTTTGGCTTAAACTCATGCTGGGCACGTGCACGCGCATGCCCAAGATCCCGAGAGGAGAATGGAAGAGAAAGGGATTGGAGCGTGGCCATCCCCCATAGCGGATGATTACTCGCTCTCTGTCTCTCTGTCTCGCTCTGGATTTCTGGTGAGCACACACACCCTATAGCAAAAACCTCTTAAAAAAATACCCAAAAACCTAGGACTGAATAATACTCTTTTATTTATTATTTTTATAGTTACATTGTACAAGATTTTCATGAACACTGGATTGAAAATAATGAATCTTTGTTCCTAGGGAAAATAGAGGGTTAGGTTCCAGCAAGCAAGTCTTGGGTCACAATCTTTTTGTTGATTCATATACAAGTAAACTTGTTTAGTGAGAGTCTCTTAAAGATTCCAAATTTAATGTATATTGTTGATTCATTAATGATTCATTAACATTGAACTCAAAACCACAATGAGATACCACCTAATCACAGCCAGCATGACTAAGATTTTTCTTTTAAACCATAAGTGCTAGCATGGCTGTGGAGAAAAAGGAACTCTCCTAAACTGCTGGTGGGAATGTAAATTGATCCAGCTACTGTGGAGAACAATATTGAGATTCTTCAAAGATCTACAAGTAGAACTACCATATGATCTAGCTGTCCCACTCCTGGGTATCTACACAAAGGGTAGGAGAACCTCAGTTTAAAAATGCTTGCACATCTATGTTAACTGTGGTATTATTCACAACTGCTAAGACATAGAACCAACCTATATGTCCATGAACAGAGGAATGGATTGAAAAGTGTGGCACATATACCCTATGGAATACTACTCAGCCATAAAAAAACAAGACCCTGCTTTTAGATAGAAAGTAAATGAGTATGGAAGGTTTACTGCTGAGTCCAGCAAGCCAGGCGATAAAGGAAAGACATTGTTTATCCCCACTTAATATATACAGACTGTTCATGCTCCATTACTCAAACTGAAAGATTACAAGGTATTAAAATTGGGTATGGATACTGAATACAGTGTGGGAAGAGGGTGGGAGAAGGAGGAGAGTGTGATGAAAGACACTAAGAAAAAAATAGAAACGCAAGGCATTTATGAGACACAGAAATGGGTTATTAGGTATTGATAACATGTATAGTATCCTCGGCTGAACTGGTGTAAAGTGTATTCATTTTGTGAAAATTTACTTACAAGCTAAGTGACTGACTTTATAAAAGAAATTAAAACAAAATGAAATCTATCTAAAAAATTGAACTCAGGGAAGGGGCACTACAACTCATGCCTAAACCAAGATGCTCTAACACACGTATTTTATCTTTAAGACACATTGTGCCTTCTTGAGCTTAGGAACACACGAGATAGCTCTTTAGCAGAGAGAGAGAGAGAGGGGGAGAGAGAGAGAGAGAGAAAGCACCCCTGGGAATGGCCATATCACAATCCCTTCTTCTCTATCCTCCTCTCAGTACTTTGGGAATTCATGAATGCATGCGCCCAGCATCTTTTTTATGTTGTCCGGTCTGGGACTCAAACCACACAGTTGTCCATGTGGTATTCAGTCATCTTAATGATCATGCTACTAGATAGCCCTGAAATTACCACCAAAAAGTGCAAAAATGCAAAAGTCATTGCACTAAGCAGACCAAAGGAAGCACACTTGTTTGTAGTCTGAGAGCTAAAGGAAGGCAGAGCATTGCCTGTTTGACACTAGCTGCGAACATTATGTTAGACAACTGAATTTTCACCACTCTGCACATGTCCATGACTTCAAAAGCACTGTAAAGATCAACTTGGAGGTTCCAAGTGAGCATTAGTGAGGAGAAAAATTCAAAATATCCATGATTAATGATTATCACAGTTGGAAGACTCAGTGGCTGTCATCTCAAGGTAAAAGAAAGATAAAAGGAAGTTTATTGAGAAAAAGTTCTTGGTGTCTGTAGACAGAGGTGCTTCAGCTCTCTCTCCATAAAAGAGGAGGGTCAGTACCAGCAGTTAGCATAATGGCTATGTTGCTGAACTCCCAAGTAGTCGACCACAGTTCAAGCCCCGGACCCGGTGACTTAAACTCACGCCTGGCCCATGTGCGTGCATACCCAAGATCCCAAGAGATGAATGGAGGAGAAGGGGCTCCAGCGTGGCCATCCCCCCTGGGGGGGGTGATTTCTCACTTTCTGTCTCTCTCTCTGTCTTTCTGGTGAGCACATGCACTCTATAACAAAAAT